TGTGTGTGTGTGTGTGTGTGTGTGTGTGTGTGTGTGTGTGTGTGTGTTGGGTGGGAGGGGGTGGGTAGTTTTGCGCACACAGCAAACAAAGGAAGAAGAACCTTTCTAAGGGGAGGGGTTTCTAAGCTAGAGACCAGAGTTTGTTTTAGCTCCATTGGCCATCTTTGGCATACTTTATTCACTTCAACAGTTCCTGATATTGGTTTTTTAGGGAAAAAAATACATAAATGTCCCACCTCCATGGGCTTATTATTCTAGTAGAGAGTATGACAGATGATATGTAGGGGAAACATAAGCCCTGAAGATAACAGATGTATTCAAAGTGATTTGAAGAAAAAAGTATGATAAGGGAGTAGAGAGTGATGTGTGTGCCCTTTATATATGGTAGTTAATAAGGGCAGGGCCTCTCTAAGAAAATAACAATTGAGGAGAATATTAAATTAGGTGAAGGTTATGAGGGATTATGGGACAAGCTGAGGGCAAAGTATAGGCTAACAGCACCCCAAACTCCCTGCTAGGTGGGATATATGTCATGCTCCTCAGACACTCCTAGCTCCCTAAGAACAAAGGAAAGGGGTTTAAGTGTTTGCCATGTAATGTGGGAAATGAAGGCAAATTAAAAATTAATTTCCCTTACTGCTTACAGCCCACTAGCAAGTCCTTGAAACAAGCAGAGTGACCTCCCTCTAGGAGCTTAGCTGCCTGATGATGACACTTTGCTGTGGAAAAAAGGGAACCTTAGTATAACATTATCCTAACCCCCTGAGAACCTGAAAGTCTACTTTAACATATAAAAGTTCATTTGGAAACGTCCTTTATCTCACTCCCCACCCCAACCAAAGATACGTGCTGGAAATCATACTCCAAGCTTATGACACCCTGATATACATCTAAAGAGTCTCATCACTGAGGTTTTGCTAAATTGTAATAAATGAGCTTCAAGGTCCTGGAAACCTTGCTTCCTAAATTTCTTAGACATACTCTATCCCTGACCCGTGCCAATCTGAGGGTATAATCAGTTATCTGTCATAATTCCAGTGCAGCTCTTTCTGCCTATAGGTCCTGCCCCATGCATTAACAAAATCTTTTTTTTTTCTTTTTTGCACCAAAGACATCTTCAAGAATTCTTTCTTGGCCATTGGTTCTGGAACACATCACCATCACCCCCAAAACTTCATCATATGGCACCTAATGTGGGGCTTTGAGTCTTTTCATCTGGACTCTGACCTGGTGCAAATTTGGTAAGTACTTTATCTTTTCGCCCTTTACTCTCATTTCAGGAGCTTTTTGAGAAGTATGTTCTTATTGGAGCACTTTCATGTCGAGTGCTCAGGCTGTAATCCTGTAGCCCATGACTACCCTACAGGAAAGAGAAAGCCTTTTGTAGTTTGGCCAAAAGTTAGTACCCTTATTGGAGTGGGTCTTCTGAATAAGAACTAGAAACCTGCCCTCTCTTTATTTCTGTCCTTATATAAAGTTGTCTGCCTTGGGCACAAGACAGCCACCTAAGTCACCAAGACAGCTGCCAATCTTAAGACTCCCATGCAAGTTTTCCTCCTCATTGATGTAATGCGATCCTCTCCAGATCTCTGGTGTAGCTGCTTCTAGCCATAGGACCTCCACTGGGAGCTGACTGAAACCAGTATCCGATTGAATTAAAATCCCACTGGGGACCATTTCCTAGGGAAGTTGGCTGTAAGGACTATGTATGTTGGAATCTCACTTAGATCATGATGGATTTTCTTGCTATTTTCAGTTAATGTCCTCTACTAACTACTACTTAGGTTACAGAGTTGGGTAATTCTCCCATCTAAAATTTTCTGGTGTTTTCTATGGGTTAAAATATCATTATTTCTTCTATACCTTCTCAGCAAGCAGACTCAGGTCCATACACCAGCAACCATCTGTAGTCTAGAATGCAGAGGGGAAGCAGGTAGGCTGGTCAGTGGTCGTAGCAATTTCACTTAAGGAATGCCTCAGGGCTCTTTGACACCAGGAACCTGTGACATATCCTGCATGTAGGATGCCACCTGGGAGTAGAGAGGATTCTAGGGGTAATGGACCTTCTCTCTACTTCTCTCTCTCCTTTTCACTAGAAGGAACATGGGAGCTTCCTTTCAGTCCTCAAGGAGTGTCCCTGGGGGTGCCTTTTTAATTCACTGGAAACAACTTGGATTACAAAATGTAGAAAGGACTAATCCTGTAAACACCACATGGCCTTAGTAAACAGGGCAAATGGATGGATGTACCCCATGTCCAGGGCTTTACAACTTAGGACGCAGACTCACAGCCTCTTGCAAGAATGTGTTTGGTCAGTAACGAGGCCATTAAACTAGCTCCTGATATACTTGATGGTAATTATTTAAATAGACGCCCTAATAGAAGCTAGATTGCTGGAGGAAACACAAGCCATCCTTGACAGAGGGGACGCTGACTCTTTCTCTGTGTTCCTTCTCCTAATAGATGTGAGGACCTCTTCCTCATTCACTTCCCAGTTAATGATTATGATAATTGGAGCCAACTGTGCTTAGTCTGCCTTAGAATGGGAACTTTAAGGGATATTCCCAAGCAGCTGGCAAAACTCCATTTTGTTTGGGAGAAATTACCTGTCTTCTCTGACCTAACATTGACTCCATATATCCACTTTGGTGGAACTAAAAGCATGGTGTCTGTGACTCTGAGTGATATGACAAGGTTTACAGCTGGGAAATTTACCTTCTCTGCCTTCTGCTGGCACCTAGCCTCTTGTGCCTTTCCCTATCCCTCCTCTTTCTGTACTACCTTGGATGTGGCCTACATAGCTGGTTCTAATACCATCTTCAGTGCCTCAGGCACCATCATTAGCTCCTCCTCCCACCCTCAGTTTCAAAGAGCAAAGAGCAGCCCGTTGGACCATCCACTTCAGATTCCCCACCAATGTTCCAGGAAAAAATGACAATAGGGAAAAATTGATTGACTTTTAAGCAGACACACATGAAACAATTTGGTATTTAAACTAATTGAAGTTTGTTAGATCTGTCTTTAGAGTTGTCAGTATTAAATATGAAATGTTCTATCAAGGTTTACAAAAGTCCTATAAGCTCATATTATCTCTATTGCAGTTTGTTAGCAAAAAGATTACTCAAAATAATGGTTAATTCTGTCCATCTCAGAGTTTTCATAGGTAACTGTTAAGATAGCTTTCAAAGTCTTTAGTAACCTGAAACTTTAAAGTTTTTCTTACACAATAAATGAGATTGAATTCAGTGGACATCTAGGTCTTTTTCAAATAGAATGGAGTACTAAAGTATTGATCACTAAACATATGGATTATTTGCTTTTGACATTGCAGAGCAACTAAGACTATTTGAGTGTTGTAAATGTGTGTGCTTTATTTTTATTATGGAAAACCTTCTTTCCATAATTTAATTGATAAATTAAACATTATCATTAATTAATTAATTATTATTATTGATAAATTCACATTTTAAAAAATGCTGAGAGAGGAGCTAAGATGGCAGAACAGCATGAAAGTATTTTTTGCATCTCTTGTCGCTGAAATGCAGCCAGATCAACGCTAAACCATCCTGCACACCTAGAAAACTGATTTGAGGATTAACACACCAAGCTGCACAACCTGAACCATGGAACGTGGTACACAGCATGGATAGATGAACCAGGGAAGAGAGAAGCTACAGAGGACAGGAAGCTGTTTTTGCTTTAGAAGAGAGGATGGAGATGAGGGGTGAGCAGGGTAAAGCACCCCCTCCAAAATCAGCTGAAGAGAAAGTGGAAAAGTGGAAACAGCCACAGGGACTGAACAAAAAAAGGGAGAAAGGAGAAAGTGTCTATTCATGTTCTTTTGCCCATTTCTTCACTGGATTGTTTGGGGTTTTGGGGGGGATGTTGAGTTTGATAACTTCTTTACAGATTTCAGATACTAATCCTTTATCTAATGTCTTTTGCAAATATATTTTCTCTTCTGTGGGTGCCTTTTTTCTTTAACACTTATTTATTTTTGAGAAAAAGACAGAGAGAGAGAGCAGGGGAGGGGCAGAGAGAGACAAACACAGAATACAAAGCAGGCTCTAGGCTCTGAGATGTCAGCACAGAGCCCAACACAGGTACGAATCCACAAGCCTTGAGATTATGACCTGAGCTGAAGTTGGACGCTCAACCAACTGAGCTACCCAGGCACCGCATATAGGTAGTTCATTTTTGCTTTTGTTTCCCTTGCCTCTGGAGATGTGTTGAGTAAGAAGTTGCGGTGGCCAAGATCAAAGAGGTTTTTGCTTGCTTTCTCCTCCATGATTTTGATGGCTTCCTGTCTTACATTTAGGTTTTCATCCATTTTGAGTTTGTTCATGTATGGTGTAAGAAAGCAGTCCATGTTCATTCTTCTGCATGTCGCCGTCCAGTTTTCCCAGCACCACTTGCTGATGAGACTGCCTTTACTGTATTGGATATTCTTTCCTGGCTTGTCAAAGATTAGCTGGCGCTAGTTTGTGGGTCCATTTTGGGGTTTTCTATTCTATTCCATTGATCTGTCTGTTTTTGTGCCAGTACCATACGTCTTGATAATTGTAGCGTTGTTATATAGCTTGAAGTCCAGGATTCTGATGCTTTCTTCTTTGGCTTTCTTTTTCAAGATTGCGTTGGCTATTCAGGGTCTTTTGAGTTTCATAGAGATTTTAGGATTGTTTTTCTACCTCTGTGAAGAATGCCGGCATTACTTTGATAGGGATTGCATTGAATATGTAGATTTCTATGGGCAGTATCAACATTTTAACAATATTTGTTCTTCTGATCCATTAGCATGGAATATTTTTCCTTTTTTTTTTTTTTTTTTTTTTTGGTGTCTCCTTTAATTTCTTTCGTAAGCTTTCTATAGTTTTCAGTGTATAGGTTTTTCATCCCATTGGTTAGGTTTATTCCTAGGTATTTTATAGGTTTGGTGCAATTATAAATTGAATTGACTCCTTGATTTCTCTTTCTGTTGCTTCATTATTGGCATATAGGAATGGAACCAATTTCTGCGCATTGAGTTTATGTCCTGCACTTTGCTGAATTCATGAATCAGTCCTAGCAGTTTTTTGGTGGAATCTGTTGGATTTTCCATTTAGAATACCATGTTATCTGTGAAGACTGAAAGTTTGAATTCCTACTTGCTGATTTGGATGCCTTTTATTCCTTTGTGTTGTCTGAGTGCTGAGGCTAGGACTTCCAATACTATGTTGAATAACAGCGGCAAGAGTGGATGTCCCTGTCGTGTTGCTGATGTTAAGAAGAAAGCTCTCATTTTTCCCCCATTGAGGATGACATTAGCAGTGAGTCTTTCATATATAGCTCTTATGATCTTGAGGTATACTCCTATCCCTACTTTCTTGAGGATTTTTACCAAGAAAGGATTGTGCATTCTGTTACATGCATTCTCTGCAACTGTTGAGAGAATCATGTGGTTCTTGTCCTTTCTTCTATTAGTGTGATTATTGTTTTGGAGATATTGAACCAGCCCTGCATCCCAGGTATGAACCCCACTTTGTCGTGGTGAATAATCCTTTTATGTATTGTTGGATCTGATTGGCTAGTACCTTGTTGATACTAGCCTACATGTTAATCAGGAACATTGGTCTGTAGTTCTCCTTTTTAGTGGGGTCTTTGTCTGGTTTTGGAATCAAGATAATGTTGGCTTCATAGAAAGAGTTTGAAAGTTTTCCTTCCGTGTCTATTTTCTGAAACAGCTTCAAAAGAATAGGTGTTAACTCCTCTTTAAATGTTTGGTAGAATTCCCCTGGAAAACTATCCAGCCCTGGACTCTTGTTTGATGGGAGATTTTTGTTTACTAATTCGATTTCTTTACTGGTTATGGATATGTTCAAATTTTCTATTTATTCGTGTTTCATTTTTATTAGCTTATATGTTTCTGGGAATTTGTCCATTTCTTCCAGATTACCCATTTTATTGGCATATAATTTCTCATAATATCCTATTCTTATTGTTTGTATTTCTGCTGTGTGATCTCTCCTCTTTCATTCTTGATTTTATTTATTTGAGTCATTTCCTTTTTCTTTTTGGTAAAACTGGCTAGGGGTTTATCAATTTTGTTAATTCTTTCAAAGAATCAGCTTCTGGTTTCACTGATCTGTTCTACTGTTATCTTTTGTTTGTTTGGTTGGTTTCAGTAGCACTGATTTCTGCTCCAGTCTTTATTTCCTGTCTTCTGCTGGTTTGGAGTTTTATATGCTGTTCTTTTTCCAACTCT